ATCAAACTACAGAAATTATTTTTATTTTGCCCGATATAAAATGAATAAGAATTTGTTTTTACCTTAGATCTTGGTTTTTTGAATAGATCTGCATTTTTCTCATGTTTCACAACAAGCTTTGGTACGTGTTGTTTTACATCATTGAATAAGTCCTCAAAATCCTTATTAACTCTGATATCCTGAAAACAATTTAAAAAATATAGTGATATGGGGATACACAAAGAAAGTAAAGATTGAAACTGTTAAAACACTGAAATCAGTGTTCTAAGTGATTTAACAGCTCATGGCACTAAGGAACGTAAAGGTCTCATAGCTACCATGCATTTATCGGAAGCTGCTTTTTAAATAGTCTGAAATCTTTATTTGTGTGGTACACCTCAAGATGCCATCATTGCGCAAAAGTTTCTGACTAACTGGCCTGTTTCAACACACTGGAGTTCTTACTGATCAGTAATTTGACTTCCATTTTAATGGCTTGGTTTCTACTACTTATAAAAATGGAATTGGTAACTGATAAAAAAGTTAAGCAGATTGATTGCACAGTATTCTAACCTTTCCTCATTTGTACCAACTACCAAATAAAAATCAGTTTGATTAATTTGTATTTAATTAAATGAATATTTTGATTGTCTGAAAATAATCAAATTTGTTTTTGTCTTATATGCATGTGACATTTTAAAGATGCCACTCTGCTCTGGTCACTATGAGTGAAAGATGATGCAATGAATACAGACTTTTGACTACGTGCTAAATAAAGTGTTCAAGTGGGGCTTGAATCTACAATCTTCTGATTTAGAAGAGAATCAAGGCCAATATTCCCCCCTCTACCTTTTTAATCAGATGATGCCATGTTCAAGTCCTACTCCAGAGGCACACTTTCATAATCTAGTTTGAAACCTTAGTGCTGTAAAATAGCTGATACTGCTAAGATGTTAAAGCTGGTCTTTGTCCGTTCTCTCAGAAGGACGTAAAATAAATGTTCTTATGAAAGCTAGGTCTTCATATGTTCCGGACAAGACCACTCCCTCTACCAAAAATCACTAAAATAGATCCAAATACTTATTTTATTGCTGTTTGTGGGATCTTATGTATATTGGCTATTATGCAGCACCATATTATAACAATGGATATGTCTTAACGTACTTCAGTTGATGTACAGTGTTTTGTGATATTGTGAGGAAATGAAAGGTATTAAGAATATGAATATAAAATAATCACAAATTTAAAACAAAAAAGTGGTTAGAAATAAACTTCTTCACATATAGAACAATTACAATGTGGAACTGTCCATCACAAACTCTTAAAGCTGGAGCCATATATCCTCTCAGCTGGGATTTAGTTAATTGAATGAAAAAGAGGAATTAAGAAAAATGATGAGTGGAAGAGTTGGGGTGGATAGAAATGCTCTTCCTAGCTCCACTAGCAATTTTGACTGTCAGTGTGATTTCCAATACTCTCTGTACCCACGCCTCACTATCTAATTTCCCTTCCTCCTTATGACTTACCAGATGCCACTGCTAACAAGGCAAGTAGCTTAAAATTGAATCCTTCTGAAGGGCAAGCTGTCTGGCAAGGTACATCAGATGCTGCAAGGTGGGTTGGAATAGTTATATGAAATCCAAATCCAACTTTTGGCAGCTACCAGGCCTCTACATTTCAGATTTTGTAATGTTTCTATGCATTGTTGAATTCTCTTTGCTACTGCTTGTTAAGTAAGGAATCCATAATATAGCTGATTGAAACAAAGATGACAATGTTAACTACCATTTCTTCCTCCAGTGACTGTAAACCAGAAGACAGTGTAGAACATTGCTAAACTGCAAGGCTTTGCAGTCCTTACTACGAGCTAGTGAATGCAAATCTGTTGACTTTTTCTCTTGCACATAGAATCTCCGAGACTTGCAACCAAAAGTGTAGTGTTAGTAAAGATAAGGAATTGACACTGATGAGATAGGTAGTCAGATGATAGAGGGGTGGAAGTGCATCCTGGCATATTTGACTAGAGGAAACTTATCACAGATTGCCGAGTTCTGAGGAAGGGTCACCGGACCCGAAACATGAACTCTGTTTTCTCCTTCACAGATGCTGCCAGACCTGCTGAGCTTTTCCGGCAACTTTGTTTTTGTTCCTAATTTACAGCATCCACAGTTCTTTCAGTTTTTACTTACCATTGAATGACTAGCTGAAGAGTAAAAAGATGATTATTTCAGAGGTTCTGCCATGAAGAGAAGTATGCTAACAGAGCATCAGAAACAACTTGCAGTTTTGAATTCCCTCCCTGAAGATATTGCCTCAGCTAATCAATGTTTCCAACACTTTGTTTTTTTTATGATCGAAGACATTCTGTATGCGCCAGAAAAGTATCCTCCAACTTTACCTCAAACTTCCTTCATCTTCATTATGCCTCACGTACTTGTTTAGCTCCATCGGATTTTACCCTTTTGTATGGGTTTCAGCAAGCTGTAGCTTTTTACCATAGTGCAAATTATGAAGAGTTGTTAGGAAGTCCTGGAATTTATGTTGCTGAGACCATCCAACCCCAATTCTATTATTTACACGGAGGTGTTACAATGAGGGAAGGCATTTCTTCTGAACTAAACTAAATTTTGCATTAGTGAGATACACTTACTTTAAGTGGATTTTCTGCTTAATAAGTATGTGGGACAAATTGGATAGCTCTTTCAAAGATCCATCATAAGAATGAGGGAAATAGTGCTCCTTCATTTTATGACTTTGTTACAGCTTCAGTAAGTTTTCCATAACTGGACCACTGTAATGCACAAACAACTATTAGCCTTAGGATAGTTGTGGCTCAACAGTAAAAATCAAAAATAGAAATGCCAAATTCAGTTAGTACATTGTCATGGACGAAGAGACAAATTAGCATTTTATGTACAGAACCAAGGAAGTATGGGAAATGAATCTATTATATTTTTAGCTGAGACAGACAGGGGAAGGAAAAAAAGAAAGAAAACCTTACATTTATATAGTGACTGTCAATGACAACCAGGCGATTCAAAGTGCTTTATGACTTATGAAGTACTTTTGAAGTGTAGCCACTGTCGAATTGCAAGTACCATTTATTAAAGGAGTAGAATATATACTCACAGAGAAATCCAAAGATTCTATGGCACTTTTTGGATTTTCTTTTAAAGCTTTCAATATCCCGTAACAGCCAGCACTTTGCATAGGATTCCGGGCCATCTGTGAACATAAATTACAAGAGTTTCATTACTCAAAGTGACAATTAAAATTATTACATCACCTTTTCAAATGTGCATTCCTACTGTCTTCTTCAAGGAGCCAACTCTTGCTGCAGGGCATTTTCATCAACATCTGTAGTCCACCCTTATTTTGCTCCAGCAGCAATTCTTCACGAGTAAGGTGTAACAGATGATGAATGAGTATGTTATCTTCCACCTGAACGAAGAGGCATCAAATACAAGATTCATCAGTTTCCATACAACACTCATGTCCTCACTTTAAACATGCTGAGTAGATGATCTTACTCAGCCTTCATCCAAGGTTAAAATCATGTCAGATGCAAACCTTCAACCGATGCAATAAACTCCATGTGATAATCAAGAAATGACTGAATGCACTGGACATGGCTAAATTATGGCTGTTGGCAATGTACCAACAGCAGTGTTTAAGACTTGTGCTCCAGAACCAGTCGCAGCTCGAGTCAATCTATTGTATCAAAACTACAACTGACATGGATTTGATAATAAAAATTGCCCAGCTATATCCACCCACAAAAAAGGACAAATTCAATTGGACAAATTCGCATCAATCCACTCTCTTTCAAAGTAATGGAAGAGGTTACCAATTATATTGGTGAGCAGCAGTCACGAATAAGCTGCTCACCAACACTGTATTAGGATTCTATTCGGTTCTGGACCTCAAAAGCCTAGGTTCAAACAGGGACAAGAGAATTCAATTCTAGTGGTAAGGTGAGAGTGACCACCCTTGACGCCAAGGCAGTTTTCAATCAAGTGTGGTGCCAACAAGCTGGAGTAAAACTGAAATCAATGGGACTAATAGAGAGATTAACAGACTACTTACAATAATAAATAGTATTAATATGTTGAATTTGTCTTGAAATAAATATCCTGGGATCACAGTTGCCCAGAAATGTAACTGAATTAGCCACTTAAGCACTGTGGCCTTTGGAGCAAATCAGTCTCTGGTATTTGGTATGAATTACTAGTGTCATCGTTATTCAAAGCCTCTTTGCCATTTAAGGCCTAAGTCAGGAGGGCCATGGGATATTTTTTACTAGCCCGGATGGGTGTAGCTGCACCAATGTTCAGGTAGCTTCACATCACCAAGGACAAAACAGCTTGCTTGATTGGTAGTCCATCCAACACCTTAGACATTCATTTCCTCAACCACCAGTGTACCATTGTTACAGTGTACACTTACCAACATGATGCACTTCACCAATATTTCTTCCAAACCCCATGACATCCACCACTTCAAACAAGATGTGCAGATATTACAGAACACAGTCTTAACTTGGACATAGTTGCTTCGTTGTTGCTAGGTCTATGTTCTGCAACTTCCTACCTAACAGCACTGTGGAATGCTTCCACCTCAAGATGCAGTGCTTCTAAAGAAATCCCTGCACATTTGTGGGCAAAGTAGGGACGGCCAACATATGCTAGTTTTACTTGTCATCCTTGGGGATGAATGAAAAAGGATATGGAATTGGGAATGGGAACGCCTGGCTACATTTTTTTGTTCCTAAACTTAAGTGCTGTAGATGTAGGTGACTGCTGAGATCAGCTAACTGAGCAGAGACTAGAGGCTGCCAATATACCAGCCTTGTTGTTTGATAGTGTTAGAAAGTTGTTCATATTCATGCTGATACTTTAGTACAGTACTGAGGGGTACTGCACTATTAAAGATTATGGGTTTTAGATAAGCCAGGTAAACTGAATTCCAAGGTGCATCCTGAAATGGATATAAAAGATTCCATGACATTGCTTGAAGAGGACAAGGATACTTTTTCGATGGCATTGGCTAATATTTTCTTTCAATCAACGCCACTGAAACATATTAGACCAGCATTTACCATCACAATACTGGTAAATAAATCTCACTTTTGTGGAAATTACACAGCAATTTCAAGAGAAGACAGATGTGGTTAAACCTGAAAATGATACTTTGCTGTTTACCTCATTACTCAAACGTCTTCAACGGTTTGAAGTTTCTGCACTGATGCAGTAAATGTGAACTTAAACAAGCTTTCTGTGGCAAAATTTATGTCTATCTCAAGCATCTTCTTAATGTTGTGATAAACAGAAATGACTGCTAAATGCACTGAAATTAATCATTGCAAGAGCACAATATCATTTTTTCAGCTTTAAATTGTTAAATTCAAATTAAAATCAGTTTTACACAAAAAAAAACTTTGTTCTTTCTCACTTAATCCTATCTTTGTATCCCTCATTTTATTTTGAAAAAGCCTTGATGCCCATTCTCTCGCTTTATTTGTCATTACATTCCAAAATGCTGCATACATTTTGTAGGCAGACTGTACCTCTCCTTTTAAGAGGCGTTGGTTGCCTTCGAGTAGCATTTTGGCCTCCTGATATTAACCCTCACAGCCTCACAGAAGCACTTGCACGTGAGTCATTGCAATGCATGGACAGCAGTGATTTTACATTGCATCTCAAAGAGTCCTAACTGAGCAAGACGTCTGTATAATCCACCTGATTTTTTTCCCCCTATCTTATAGGACCATAGACTATAAGACATAGGAGCAGAAATTAGGGCATTTGGCCCATTGAGTCTGCACTGCCATTCAATCATGGCTGATAATTTTTTCAACCCCATTCTGTCGTTTTCTCCCCGTAACCTTTGATTGCCTTGACAATCAAGAACCTGACTATCTTTAAGACAGATGGAGAATGACTTGGCCTCCACAGCCTTCTGTGGCAATGAGTTTCATAGATTCATCACTCTCTGGCTGAGTTTCTCCTCACCTCCATTCTAAAGGGTCTTCCCTTTACTCTAAGGCTGTGCCCTTGGGTCCTGGTCTCTCTTGCTAATGGAGACATCTTCCTAAAGTCCACTCTGTCCAGGCCGTTCAGTATTCTGTAAGTTTCAATTAGATTGCCCCCTCATCCTTCTAAACTCCATCGAGTATAGACTCAGAATCCTCAAAAGTTCCTTATGTTAAGCCTTTCATTCCTGGGATCATTCTCGTGAACCTCCTTTGGAGCCGCTCCAGGGCCAGTACATCCTTACTGAGGCATGGGGTCCAAACTTGCTCACAACATCCAATTTCTAGATAGAAATTTCTTGAAATTATGGATTAAATAATTAATGAATGGTTTGGATAGATCTATTACAGTGAGCCATTGGAGTAGCATATACAAGTTTGGAAGTATACTTACATTAAGTACAATCAGTGTGTTATTGCTTCTCAATCCCATTGATAACCACACTGCTCCTTCTGGAGAAATATGATTATTACTGTAAGAAACAACCAAAACAAAAATCACAAAGCTTTAAATGTTCAAATCCATACATTGACTAGGGTTTGTATATTTATTTAAAACAATATGGTATAACTGTTGAAACAGAAAAGGGCGGCATGGTGGCTCAGTCGTTAGCAATGCTAGCTTTTACAGCACAAGGGGCCTGGGTTCAATTCCCCCCACCTCGGGTGACTGTCTGTGTGGAGTTTGTACATCATCCCAGTGTCCGTGTGGGTTTCCTCCGGGTGCTCCGGTTTTCTTCCACAGTCCAAAGATGTGCAGGCTAGGTGGATTGGCCATGCTAAATTGCCCATAGCGTTCAGGGATGTTTAGATTGGGTGGGTTTGGGGAATGTGCCTGGGTGGGATGTTCTGAGGGTCAATGTGGACTTGTTGGGCCAAAGGGCCTGTTTCCACACTGTAGGGATTCTATTCTATGGAAAATACAAGTTAAGCTTATAATGATTGTAGTTATGTATGTTGACTGTGGTTTCTTCTTAAATCATAAAAATCAATTTTAATTTACTTTAAACAAATGTTGCCCTAATCATGCAGTTGTGCATTCAAACTCCAGGGTTTAAGTACATAACAAAGGTTAACAGTTTAGTGCAGTATTGAAGGAATGCTGCATTATTAGAAGTGTGGTCCTTTGAAAGGGATGGCAAGTGCCTGTAGTACATTAGAAATGCCATTGACGTTACTCAAGCAGGAGGAGCTCAGCTGTGTGAAGGGCAATATTCTCCCTCAACCGACACCATCATGAACAAATGAACTAGTTGCTCATGTCTTTTCTGTCTGTGAGCTTATGCTATGGCAAAAAGTCTGCTGCATTTGTCCACATAAATAAATTATCACTACTTTCCAAACACATTGAAAAATATCATAAAACGTCATCTAAATGTAAATAATTTAATCTTTCATATGAAAACAGCTTGCAGTCCAGTCAAATTCACATGTACTCTTGATTACAAAATACTTCACAGCATTCTCCAACAGCTAATTATACTGCAACTGGTTATGGGATTCAGGGTTTCTTCTCACTTTAACAATGGTGAGTGAAGTGCTACTGTTACTTCTCTTTTCTTCTGCAAATTAAGCCTTAAAATTCAGAATTTTAATACTTCATAGGACAGCCAAGCAAATCTACCATCTATCATTCCAAGTCATACAGAACAAAGATGTCCCAAGTTTGTACTAGAGTATGTGTGGCAATAAAATCTAAATCGAAAAGTTCCACCTTGAACTGAATGAGGTCAAGTAAGTTGGGAATAGAAAACAGATTAGGGCTCCCACTCTCAACTGTAAATCAGTCCCTCTGCCTTGTATGCCTCGGTAGCACTTGTATGCAGATCTCGAGTGAGAGTAGTCTCGGCTATGATATCCCAATGGCTGAACGTTTTACTGACATTAAGTGTTAGGCCCCCACAAAAAGAATGACATGAAGGATATGGTAGTAAAGGCTTAAGATGCCTAGCATGAATCAGTGTCGTCAGAACAGCGGATAAACAATTTAAAGAAAAAATCAGAAATCATTCCAGTTGAGTTCCTTTCAAACTCCGCAAAAGGAACAGCTCTCATCCACTGATACCATCATGCTGTAAGGTCATTCATTCTCTTTTCAAAAGAAAACAGATTTCCCTCTCAGACCTACTTTTTTAAAAGGCCAAGAAGTCAGCTGATATTGTGGTGTGTTATTCAACCCAATTTGTATTAATAGACTGTGCCATCCATGACTGTGCCAGTGTGCTACATTAGCTGGCCACCAAAACCACTACCATTTTGTGTCTTTAAGAAAAAAGACTTGCGGTCTGTGCTAACTCCAAATGCTCACTTGAATAAATTGCAACCAATATCACGATAGCCTACAAAGAAACTGCTTTATACAAACAGAAAAATGGTACCCAATCTGGATTAAAAGAAGGTAGGTGTTGACATACCTGATATTCAATTGCTCAAGCACATTGTTAACTTTAAGAGCGATGCCAAGGGCTTTTGCACCCTCATTCCCAAATCCATTATAGGACAAATTCAGTACTTTCAGATAAATATTATCCTGGGGGGGGTGGGAGGGAAGAAGAAGAATTGGAGGGGAAGAAAATAGATTACACTCAACTGCTTTTCTAATCACAAAATTTGTAAATTTTGGTCAATTCAGTCTCCTGGACTAGACATCAAATTCAAGACACACTCACCACAGAGACTCAAGCTAGTAGAAGAACAGTGTCTCAAATCCAACTGTACCTGAAAATGGGTGATGTCCGAAAACCAAAGACCTTTATGAGCTGCCATGCATGAATTTTAATTATTAATAGATGAGTATAATTAACTTTCAGGCTTGTTGGGCCAGGAGCTGCACTAGTTATTGCCTTCACGCACATTTTTTTGTGTGCTCCGGGCGGTCCGATTGACTCTTAACCGAACCTAACACCAACCACCCAACCCAAATTGCCAGACTCGAAAACCAGCAAGATCTGAAATGGAGATAACAAGGTGTAGAGCTGGATGAACACAGCAGGCCAAGCAGCATCAGAGGAGCAGGAAAGCTGATGTTTCGGGCCTAGACCCTTCTTCAGAAATGGGGATCCAGCAAAGAGCAGAGGAGTTGAATAAATACTTGGTATCAATCTTCACAGAAGACGACATGAATGGCATTCCAAAATTATTAAATAATCATGCAGCAAAAGGAGGAGAAGAAATAACTACAAAGGTTACGAGGGGAAAAAGTGCTAGCGAAACTAACAGGGCAAAAACAAACCAACAAGTATCCTGGCCTCAGAGATAGTAAGAACTGCCAATTCTGGAGTCAGAGATAACAGTGTAGAGCTGGAGGAACACAGCGAGCCAGGCAGCATCAGAGGAGCAGGAAAGCTGACGTTCCGGGTTGGGACCGTTCTTCAGAAATGGAGGAGGGGGAAGGAAGCTTTGAAATAAAGAGAGGAGGGGTGGGGCTGGGGAAGGTAGGTGGGATGGTGATAGCTGAGTGCAGGTAGGGAGGGCGGATAGGTTAGAGAGAAGACGGACAGGTCAAGGAGGTGGGGATGAGAGGGAGATAGGTAGAGGACGGACAGGTCAAGGAGGCAGGGAGGAGAGGGGCTGGGGAAGGTAGGTGGGATGGCGATAAATGAGTGCAGGTAGGCAGCTGTGGGCATTGGTCAGTGAGTTGGGAGGGGCAGATAGGTGGGAGAGAAGATGGACAGTTCAAGGAGGTGGGGATGAGAGGGAGGGATGGTCACGGGATGAGGCCAGGGGTGCGGAGATTTTGAAACTGGTAAAGTCCACATTGAGACCATTGGGTTGTACGGTCCCAAGGCGGAACGAAGTGCTGCCCCTCCAGTTTCCGGGTGGCGTCGTTGTGACACTGGAGGAGTATCCTGACCTGATAGGATGCATCTTAGGATATTAAAAGGAAGTAACTACAGAGACAGTGGATATACTGGTAGTAATCTTCCAAGAATCCTTAGATCCTGGAAAAGTCCCAGAGGATTAGAAAACTGCCAATAGTAAAAAAAAAGTCAAACAAAAAAAAAGCTAGAGGCCAGTTAGCATAATATCCATTATTGGGACAGTATTAGAATCTATTACTAAGGATGTAATAGCAGAGAATTTAGAAAAACATATGACCAAGCGAAGTCAGCGTGGCTTTATGAAGAGGAATCATGCCTGACAAATTTACTAGAATTCTTTAAAGGTGGTAAGAAACAGGAGGGATAAAAAGTAGAGGAAGGGGCCATAGTATATTTGGATTTTCAGGAGATATTTGATGTGTTACCACACATTAAGCTACTTAATAGTATAATAGCCCACCAGTGTTGGAGGTAGTATATTAGCATGGATAGAGGACTGGCCAAATAATGGAAGTCAGAGAGTTGGATATGGGGGTGGGGTGGGGGTTTGCGGTGGATGATGGAAGCATTTTCAGGATGGCAACCTGAGTAGTGGAGTACCACAGGGATCAATTATTTACAATCTATTACACTATTATAGATTATGGAAAATTCAGGAAAGTGAAAGTGAATGTGCTATAAGGCAAGTTTGTGGACAACACAAAAATAGGTGGGAAGGCAGGTAGTGAGGATGACAAAGAATGGGTCGAACATAGACAAGTTAAGCAAGTGAGCAAAAACTTGGCAGATTGAATATAATGTAGAAATAAGAGGTTTGGCACAAAGTATAGAGGAAGTGAATATTATTTAAATAGAGAAAGACAACAGAAAGCTACAGAACAGAGGGATTTGGGAGTTCTTGTCCATGAACCACAAAAATCTAGTATCTAAGTTCAGCACATAACAGGGAAGGCAAATAGAATGTGAGCCTTTATTTCAAAAGGGAATTGACTATAAAAGTAGGGAGTGCTTACTAAAACTATACAAGGCACTAGTCAAACCACAACTGGAATACACGAACAGGTTTAGGCCTCTTATGTAGGCAAAGATATATTGGCATTGGAGGACATTCCAGAGAAGGTTCACCAAGTTGATCGTCGGTACGAAGGGACTGTTTTAGGAGGAAAGTTTGAATAGACTGGGCCTGCACTCATTAGAATTTATAACAGAGAGGGACGACCTCCTCATTAGAATTTATAACAGGGAGGGACCATCTTACTGAAGCATACAGGATCCTTGTCAAGAGTAGTTGCGGAAAGGTTTTTCCACTTGTGCAGAATATAGGGCCAGAGGGCATAATCTCAGACTATGGGGGTTACATGTTTAAAACAAGTATAATGATGAATTTATTTTCTCAGATGATAGCAAGTCTGTGGATTCTTTACTGTACAGGGCTGTTAAGACTGGCTCATTAAGTATATTGAAGGTTGATATAGATAGATTTTTAAATCAATAGAGAAATTAAGGCTTCTATGGAAAAGGCAGGAAACTGATACTTATTGGTTAGCCATGATTACTTTGAATGGCCTACTTCTGGTCCTATGTCTTATGATCGAAGACCTAACAGGGAATTCGAAGTACCATTCACAAACACCTACAGTGTGACACAGCCCTTTACCATTATACAACGCAGAAGTGTAAATCCTTAAATAAAGTATTCTTGATAGCAAGTGCCCAATTCTTTACAAAGGTTACTGAAGAAATTTGGAGACAACACAGTATGGAGTTGGAGAAATACAGCAGGCCAGGCAGCATCAGAGGAGCAGGAAAGTTGACGTTTTGGGTCGGGACCCTTCTTCAGAAAAATCTTGAAGAAATTTGGACATGCTTTAACTGCTGTAAACAAAAAAAATGTGCTACATGGTTGCTTATTTGAGGGCATTGCAATTTAGGGAATATTGATTAAATCTAACAGTTCATTAAACATGAACAAATAGTCCCACAGGACTGTGTAACTAGGTGGAAACATGGGAAAGATTTAGATCACAGTACGTCACTAAAGTTATGTTTGATCAGTTTGTTAATATCATTTGACATTACGATCTTGAAATATACTCAAAATCTTTAACTGAAAATCAAAAATCCTGTATCGTAAGGTTATCGTGCTAAATCATAAGACAGAATTATGCATGTATATTTGTGGGCTAAAGTGACATAATATAAATACACACACAGTTGAAACTGAAGTAATGTTGAAATACATTTTCCTCTGCCCTGCCCTCAAATAGTACTAGAATTACAGAGGAAAAAGATCACAGTGGATCATTGAATAGATTCAAAATTGAGTCAACAGATTTTAGATCTACAAGAGAGCTGAGGGTTCTGGGTAAGAAAGTGTATTTGAAGCCGTGATCAGATCAGCTACAACCTTCTTGAATGGCACAGCAGGCTTGATGGGCCAAACAGACTGCTACTGCTGCTAATTCTTGCGTTTTCTAGAAAAAAAAAAGAGTAATCTGTTGCTGCAAACTTTCTCTGTAGTGCTTTTTTGTTCTGGTGACCACAACACTGCGTGCCTGTACATGATATAGAAAATATACCCATGGGATGAGATGGCTTCACATATTGGTTTCCATTAATCGTGTACAACGCAGAGGAAGATCAGACAGCCGCCATGAAGAAATGCTATTCCCTGACCTGTCTGTTTTTAAGGGTATGGTCTGGATAATTTCTTTACTTTTGCCAGTTTTATATCCAAAGTGGGGTTATAAGTTTAGAACTTTTGCTGAATGGTGTGGTTCATTCATTTGTGTATGTTCTGTCCAATGGCAGGTCTTTGGCTTGTTATCTTCTAGAGCTTTATGCTGAGCCAGTTACTTGGCAGTTATTGGTCATGATGGTTTGCCATTGCCTTCCACTCTCAAGCAGGGTGAGGAGGCAGGTCCAAAAGTCTATCCTAATTGTACAGGAATCTGAACCATATTAGTCTTCTTGCTAACTGACTTCAAATATTGCAAGTTATTTCTAATTGGTTATAGATTTACTAATGTGTAACCACCCACCCTGCTGCCTTGTTAAGTTTCACTTGAAACCACAAAATACCATGCTGTGCATATATTTTCATGGTGTATACATATAATTATTCCACTAAATACAGTCACAGGGATCCCCATTGCCTTGTAGTACTCACACTGATGCCTTCTGCTACTGCTATACAAGCGTTCCCACGTAGATAATTCCAGCTTAGGTCCAATTCCACTATCCCACTGTTATCTGCTATAGCCCTTCCAAGGTCTTCACCTTTACAAAATAACAAATAAGTTACTGAAGCTTGAACATCTTTGTAAAAAATTTAATAAACAATATAAAACTTGATAAACATCGGAGGGTAGTTAGAACTCCAGCTAAATGAGAAATTGTAGAAGATGGGAAAATTTGCATCAGCAAGTCAGATATATACCAAAGGGAAACATGTGTGGTTGGCTTCACAAACACATTAAATAAAAATGATGAACAGGGAAAGACCCTTAATCCATCCAGAATCTCTCATGCAATTGTAAATCATAGTATAGAATCATAGAACACAGAGGTACTTCATTCAGCCCAGTGAATAAGCAGCAGCTCTGTTAAAGAGCAATCCAGTTAATCCCATTTCCTGCAAGTGGTTCTCCTTCAGGTACTTATTGAATTCTCTTTTCAAAGCTGCTAGTGAAACTATTTTGACCATGATATCTGTGGTACATTGTAAATCCAAACACTTAGCTATGGAACTGTGAATATAAACCCTTATTCGTTCAAAACAGCTTCTTCTTTTCAATTCTTTGATGGGATGTGTAGCCAGATTTATTATCCATGCATAATTGTTTTCAAGAAGGCAGCATGAGCTGCCCCTTGAACCGCTGCAATCCATTTGGTGAAGGTAGATCCATAAAGTGGTCAGGTAGGAAGTTCCAGGATTTTGACCCATCGATAAAGGAACAGCAATATGTCTAAGTCAGGATAGTAGGTGGCTTGAAGGGGAATTTGCAGGTGATAGCACTCCTATTTCTCTAGATGTTAGAAATTAAGTGTTTGGAAGATGCTGTCAAAGCAATCTTGGAGAGTTGCTGCAATGAATTTTGTGTGCAGACACTGGGTTGCCATGGAGTGTCCGTAGTGGAAGGAATGAATTTTAAGTTGGTGGTTGGAGTGCTGATCAAGCAGGCTGCTATCCTGGAGATGTCAATTATTTTGAGCGATGTTGGAGCTGCACTTATCCAAGGAAATGGAGTGTATTGCATCATACTTACAATTGTGCCTTATAGATAGTGGTCAGGTTTTTGGGGAGTTAGGAAGTGTTATTCACTGCACAATTTCTAGCCTCTGACCTCCTCTTGTAGTTACATTATTTATATGGTTGGTTCAGTTCCTGTTCCTGGCTAATGCTAATACTGAGAATTGTGAGGATTCTGAAATGATCATTCAATTGAATGTCAAAGGAGATAGTTAGATTCTTAGAATAGAATCCTAGAAGGCTTTCAGCACAGAAAGAGGCCACTTGGTACAATATGTCTGAAAATGCTGAAACATGAGCCACACAGCTTTGTGGGGGATGGTCATTGCCTGGTCTTTGTGTTGCACGAATATCACTTGCTACTTATTATATTGCCTCTTATATCGTCAAGGTCTTGATGTATGTTGAAACAATCTGTTTCAGTAGTTTAGGACATATGAATGCCGTTGAACATTATGTTATCAGCAGCAAACATCCCCACATCTGACTTAGGATGGAAGAAGGTCATTCAGGAGCAGGTGAGGATGGTTGTGCATTGGATACCATTCTTAGGAACTGTAACAGTGATATCTTGGCACTGAAATGATTAATCTCAAACAGCCACAACCATCTTCCTTTGTGCTACGGTTTCAACCAGCGGAGAGTTTTTCCCAATTACTTCAATTTTACCAGAGATCCTCCATGCACTCAACCTTTCTATTTATTTACTTTATCTACTCTCGTTGAATCTTCGTATCTGGTCAACTTCCTTGTTTACTGTAGATTTAGTAAAGTCCTTTGCCTTGATAAAGACTGATGCAAAATATTTTGCCAAAGTACTGTGCCTGTTTGCACTAATAGATTTCCATTTCAGTTCCTAATCCATTTCATTAGGAGAGAACCTTATATTTCCATTTGATTGATGCTCCCAATTTATTCTCATTATTTCTTTCTTTTGAGCGAGAAGAAAATTCAGAAAATCTCAGACTAAATGGGAGAAGAGAAAATCAAGATATTTCTCTCCTAATTTCCTTTCCTATTAAAAATATTGGTTAAAGAAGATTGGCTGACTGGCAGAAGGCAGAGGGTAGGGATAAAGGGGTCTTATTGAGGTAGCCAGTCTATTCGAGTTTCACAGGGGTCAATATTGGGGCCACAACTATTTATGTTATACATTGACGATCTGGATTGAGGTACTGAGAGCATTGTTACTCCATTTGCAGATGACAAAGGTAGGTGGAGGGACAGGTACTGTTGAGGAAGTGGGAGGTTGCAGAAATGACTTGGATGGGTTAGGAGAGTCAGCAAAGAAGTGGCAGATGGAATATAATGTGGGCAAGTATTATGTACTTTGATAGGAAGAAGAGTGTGTGTGTTTTTTTTTTTTTTTTTTTTAAAAATGGGTAAAGCCTTCAGAAATCCCAAACACTAATGCAATGTTAGCATTCATTTCAGGAGGGCTAAAATTATAAGAGCAGGGATATACTAATGAGGCCGTATAAGGCTATGGTCAAATTGCATTTGGAAATTATAAGCAGTTTTGGGCCCCATATCCAAAGGAGGATATGCTGCCTTGGAGGGGGTCTAGAGGAGGTTTACAAGAATGATACTGGGATGAAGTGCTTGTCATATGCAGACAGATTGAGGACTGTGTCTGTACTTGATGGGAGTTCAGAAGGATAAGGAGGGATCAGATTTAAACTTACAGAATATTGACAGCCTGGATAGAGTGAATATGGAGAAAATGGTTTCCACTAGCAGGAGAGACTAGGACCCAAGAGCACAGTCTCAGGGTGGTGAAAGGACAACCCTTGGAAACGGAGACGAGGAATTTCTTCAGAAAGAGGATGGTTAGTCTGTGGAACTCATTGCTGAAGAGGGCTGTGGAGGCCAAGTCATTCAGTGTATTTAAGACAGAGAAAGATATGCTCTTGATTGGTAAGGAGATCAGGGGTTTCAGGGAGAAGACAGGAGAATAGGGTTGAGAAAAAGATATCAGCCATGATTGAATGGTAGTGCGGAACCGATGGGCCGAATAACCTAATTCTGTTGCTATATCTTATTGTGTCTTTACAAACATACCTAATGTATTGCCGATTTTGTTGTGACTTAGATCCAAGTATTTCAACTTATGTGAGATGCTTATGGCCTCAGCCAGGTACTTCGCTGCATGATCATCAAAATGGTTCCCAGAAAGGGTAGCTCGCAAGAGAGTTAGATTTTCTACGAGCATGGAGGCAATAGCTTTAGCCCCTTCAACTCCCAGTTGATTGTCTGATAAGTCAACATCTATAAAAGTTAGAAAAAAGACACAGGAGTGTTTAATAGTGATTGGCTTCCCATTGGTGTTAAAAAATTAAAAACATTAAGATTTCAATATTTTAAATTAAATTTCTAATTCCTAACGTGAGATTCAGGCCTGACCTTGGCTTCATTCCACATTTTTAGCAGATGTCTATACAAGTGCATTTTTTGGCAAGTCAGTAAGATAGAAATCAGAATCCAAAATCCAAAATCCAGGCTAACATCTTCATTTCTTATTTTGGGGATACCAAAGCCATCTGGGACCACTTAATTACTACTTCATCTGAAATTACAACTTGGGACTGTAGTGATTGGAACAAGGTCAGTCAGGCAGTCCTCATAGCATAGTAGTTCCCTGATTGGACTGGATTAACAGCCCCAATCAGGGAGCCCTGGCTGGCAGATATAAATAAGAGTATCAGAGTATCAGAGGGTCTGTTGACTTTGAGAGCCAGCTTGGAGGTAGCTAGATCCAGTATCAAGGACTCACCATGTGTGAATACAGGATGATGGGATACTGGCCTCTTGTAGAGTTATTTCAGTGACAACATGAGAAAAGCACGCTCCTGAAGAAATTCACTCAACAGTCATCTTCGAGTTGGATAAGCATTTCTAGCAGAAAGAGCAGTCCAAACTTTGAAGGCAGGTTTAAAGAAACAGCCTATAGCTTCACTAGGTACCAAACTGTCCAGGGTCCCATTTGGTTATGAGACTACCCCTCATGCAACTACAGGGATAGCTCCAGCAGAATTGCTTACGATTCTGCACTATGTTAAATCTAATCTTCCTGGGCCAGGGTTTTTTTTTGGTTGGGAGGGTGGAGAAATGACAACATCAGGAATGCTGATGCTGAACACAAGACTCCACTGAAAGAGAGACAGTTTACTTCAGGGCATGAAGCTTGATGTAGGAACTACAGGAATTTTTTTTTTTTTTTTTTTTAAATTCATACACAGGATGAGGGTGTTGCCGGCCAGGCAGCATTTATTGCCCATCCCTAATTGCCCACAGGGTGGTTAAGAGTCAACTACATTATTGTGGCTATGGAGTCAAATGTAGGCCAGACCAGGTAAGGATGGTAGTTTCCTTCCCTGAAGGACACTAGTGAACCAGATGGATTTTTCCAACAATCGACAATGGATTCAGTCATCATTAGAATCTTAATTCCAGATATTTATGGAGTTCAAACTCCACCATCTGCCATGGCGGGATTCGAACCCGGGTCCCTGGAACATTATCTGGGTCTCTGGATTAATAGTCTAGTGATAATACCACTAGACCATCACCTCCTCAGGCCTGCTTAAGAGGCATGGTTGACAGGAGGTCAAGTCCAGTGACATGTAAAGTTCAAGTAGCTGTGATTGACCTGAATGAGCACGTGGACCATGAGAAAGCTGCAAACTTGCAAATGGTGTGGAACCAAACGTGCCCGACTCCTCAACTGCTTTTCGTGAGTTCTACTTCTCTATAAAGTGATGAAGAAAGTTCAGAATCAGAGATGTTTGGGGCGGATGCCGCACCTCCACACCTTCGCTGCTTGAGGAGGAGAATGTATTTCTTCCAAGATGCTCAGAGCGCAAGAAGTGAGCTACTGTGTGTTACATGCCACTGTATCGGAGGTAGAGTTGGAGGAACCTGACCTGGTGCTAAAATGCTCCAGGAGGAGCTACAAAGGAAAAAAAAAAGAAAGAAAAGAATCGACCCATGTCCTCAGGCTAGGTGAGGAAGGGGGAGGGAAGTCGTGATTGTAACAAGGTCAGCCAGATGGACCTCATAGAATACAAGTTTCCTGGTTGGGGCTGTTAATCTGGTCCAATCAGGGAGCCCTGGTTGACAGATATAAACAGGAATGTCAGAGGTTCTGTTCACTTAGAGCTGACTTAGTTTTTAAACATTTTCCAATATGTTCCTGGTTCTCTAGCTCCCTCCAGAAAAATGCATTTCACACTGGCGATAATGTCACAGTGGAATTATATGGCAAAATGTAGCAAAGGCTGCTGCGCAGGATCAAGTTAATACATTAACATAGTACTGAGATGTTTAAACCTGTAATATAACAGTTATCCTTCAGCATTTCCGCAATAGCTCTGGCACCCTCTGCCTCCAGCCAGTTATCCTTCAGATTTAACTTAGTGATCGATGTGTTGGTTATCAAAGAAACAGAAATTGCCTTGGCACCCTGAAAATAAAAAAAAAAAGTGAATTACTGAAATTTCTCTATTCCAGAAATGAGGAGAGTGACAGCCCTTGACTTTAGAGGAGCAAAACTGGAATCAATGGATATCAGGAGGCAAACTCTCCGCTGGTGAGTCATACCTGGCACACAGGAAGATGGTTGCAGTTATTGGAGGTCAGTGATCTGAGCTCCACGACATCTTTGCAGGAGTTGCTCAGGGTAATGTCTTGGCACAACCATCTTCAGCTGCTTCATCAATGACCTTCTATCCATCATAAAAGGTCAGAAGTGGGAATGTTTACAGATGATTGCATAACGTTCAGCACCATTCATAATTCCTCAGATACTGAAGCAGTCCATATTCAAATGCAATAAGATCTGGACAAAATCCAGCTGGGGCTAACACAAGTGGGAAGTAACATTTGTGCTACACAAATGCCAGGCTATGACCATCTCCAATAATTTATCTATAGTCCCTTGACATTCAATGGTGTTACCATCACTGAATTCCCCCACTGTCAACATTCTGGGGGTTACCATTGATCAGAAACAACTGCATTCACCACATATACACAGTGGCTACAAGAACAGGTCAGAGGCTAGGAAGATGGTGGTGAGCAACTCAACTAGACTCCCCAAAGCCTGTCCACCATCTACAAGGCACAAGTCAGGAGTGTCATGGAATACTCCCTGCTTCCCTGGATGGGTGAAGCTCCAACAACACTCAAGAAGCTTGATGCCATCCAGGACAAAGCAGCCTGCTTGATTGGCACTACATCCACAAATATCCACTCCCTCCACCACCAATGCCCAATAGCAGTACAGTGTACTACCTACGAGATGCACTGCAAAAATTCACCAAAGATCCTCAGACAGCACACACGACCATATCCAAGTTCATCTATAAGAGCAAAGATATATGGGAACACCACCACATGCAAGTCCCCTCCAAGCCACACACCATCCTGACTTGGAAATATATTGCTGTCCCTTCACTGGGACAGAAATCCTGCAATTCCCTCCCCAAAGGCATCGTGGTCAATCCACAGCAGGTGGATTGCAGCGGTTCAAGGCAGCACACCACCACAACCTTCTCAAGGACACCTAGGGACAGATAATAAATGCTGGCCAGCCAGCAATGCCCACATTCCGCATAAATGACTAAAAAAAATTACCCTGCTTTAGAGATGTTACAAAATACACTAATACTAATATAAACTTGATAGCGAGACTACCAAAAATGCAAAATACTTGCTGCAATGAAAAAAGATGATGTTAGTTTTGTCCAATGAATCACTGAAAAACGTGCTTTCTTGCCTTTTGCAATGACATGTCAAACCAAGTTCTATCTCAAGTGCATGTAAACTATTCCATGGCATTACTGCAAGGCACAGGGACATGTTCCTCAGTGCCCTAGTCAATATTTCTCTCTCAAACAAACAATGTCACCATAACAGATTATCTGGTCATTATCACAATGTTACTTGTGGGAGATTGCTGTATGATACAGTTAAAATACAGACAAAATAATAGAACTGCCTTAACTGTAACTATCAACAGGCTTAACAAAATAAAAGATAATTAACTACTACGAATTAACTGTTCCAATACAGTAACATTCCATAAACATAACCTTGGGAAAGGCAAATTCAACAAAATAGATTGCATCTCAAGCAATTCTAGCAGTAGGAAGAGAACCCCAACTTTTAGCTATAACAAAGAGGAAGGAATAAGACCTTCCACATCCAGCTTCAAGACCTCAGCAACTGTAGCAAGCTTAAAACTAAAAAAATCCTGGTTTTGTGGGAGCTTGACCCTACCAATTCAGGCTGTTTCTACTGTTCCAACTTTAAAAGAAAAATCCCAAGATCTCAAGCTGTTTGCTTCATTGGCTTCGGAGCAGACTGCTTGTCACCTGTCACAAACCTTTCTCTTCATAAAATAACCAGGACAAAATCAAAACACATCCCTTAAAGCCATAGTATAACCGCAAAAGTGCTTGGGAAATCCTGTGGTCATGAACGTGCTATGTAAGTTTAAGACAGTCTTTCTTAGACTGGTAGTGTGATATAACCTCTGCTTGAGAAGCCAAGGAAGAGAAAAAGCAATTTAATAAGTGCAGTTTTCATCATATTTCTTTTGTACTCAAAAGCTCACCAGTAAATGAGCAAATTAAAGAAAAACACTGGTTGCAATTATTACCCCCAAAAAAAAAACAAAAAAAAAAACAAACAAACAAACAAACAAACAAACAAGTGCAGTCAAGCATAAACCTCTTCAACCATAACTTTTATTAGAGTATTATCTATAAACAATGTTGTAAGATGAAGGATGGTCAGATGGGAGTGGTGGGGGAAGAAAAAAAAAAAAAAAAGATCAGTCTGAAAGGGGGGCGGTGGTGGTGGCATTGGTCGGGGGGCAGAGGTGGGAAAGAGAGTGTGGATGAGTGGTGTCTCCACTGCTGCACACTACTTACCACAAAAATTTTCAAAACAACAAATTTCAAAGTAATTTCTGAAGAAGGGTCCCGACCCAAAACGTCACCTTTCCTGTCCCTCTGATTCTGCCTGGCCTGCTGTGTTATCTGACTCCAGCATTGGCAGTTCTTACTATCCCAGCTGAGGAGGTGATTTTGTTTTGACAAGTAAAATAAATTCTTTCCTGTTTAACAGACATCTATATTAAAAAAAAATTAGTCTGTGATCTTTTGGTTGATATCTGTGTATTTGGACAAGATTAGAGGTGTGAAGCCCCTGTTATTCATACTTTAAAGGTCTGTTAGTGGATTGGAAGATTTATTTTCCAAACAAAGATTTTCAAACGCATTTTTTTTGATCAGCAGTCCCACAATTGCCACGGTTATTATTTGGTTTATTGGATATATACAAAATGCATTTTGGGTGAATGGGCTTGGAAGGGGTTTGAATAAAAATAAAATAGAGGATGCTGGATATCTGAAACAAACCGAACATAACGGAGAAACTCAGTAGTTCTGGCAGCCTCTGTGGAGACAGAAACAGTTGACATTTCAGTTCAGTAGGACTCTTCGCTAGAAGCAGTGCCAAGTGTTAACTGCACCCTTTTCTTGTGCCCAGTGAAAACTGGGAAATGCCAAGAGTTTCAGAATCGGTACCTGCCCATATTTTAAGTGCTCTGCATTTGTTTTTCAACTCTGAAAAAGCTCTGGGCCGAAGAGTCAGGACAAGATAAACCATGAAGTGGATGACAGACTGTTAAGAACAGAGTATCAGTTCTTTCACTAAAATAAATATAAACAATTAAAAAAATTACCTGTGGTCCCAGCCCATAATGCATCATAACGAGTTCTGTTTGATTCATGTTCCGCAGGAAGGAAGAGATTGGTACCACACCATATGTTTCACATGCTTGTTTATACTTGGTTTTCCCTGTGTGATCATAGGCCTTCAAAACACCTTCTGAAAAAGAACCATACAAATTTAGTGAAGGTCTTCTGCTGCAGTGACAGTTTCCCTAACTCTGGACCAGATAGCCTCAGTTCAAGTTATATCTGCTCCAGAGGTGTGTAATAACATGTATGAACAGGTTGACATGTAACACTTACAAATTTAGCAAGTTTTATATTACAATATGAAATGCAATGTGCTGTGTCCTTATTTAAATTAAAGCTGTAATTCTAATACAACTTGTAACAACACAGTGCTGATATTTCTATGAAAATTCTTCACCCTCAAATAAAGCAAGTGTGCCTTGCTGCTGCATGATTTTAGAACATAACTGCCTCTGCAGTCTCACCCAAGTAATTTTGTTTTAAAACCTAATTAGCTATTTGGTTGATGGGGTCACCAGATCTGAAGTCAAACATACTCTCACTCAACACTGAAAATGCATACCTTCCTGCATGGGTCCCAGGACAGTAATGAAGAATTGAATCCCTTTCTAGGGACTTCAAGGTACTTTTCTGTTAATTCAAACTAGGAATCAAACTGAAGCAAGTTTTTAGTGTGTTTGGTTCATTTTTAATTGCTTTACTAATTGACCCATTGAAAACAGAGAGATTGTTACTTTAAGTTTTTTTTTCCCCCCCTCTTTCCTTTGTTACTGTTGCTGCTGACACCAAATCATTTATTTTTCCATTTATGGGATTTGGAAGCTGCTGGCTGGACCAGAATTTCTTGCCTGTCCTTAGTTGTCCTTGAGAAGGTAGTAGATCCTAAGGTTTTGGAGGAGATCTGTAGCTCGGGTTGTGGGTGTTGAGGTTGGTTGGCTCGCCAAGCTGGTTTGTTGTTTTGCAGATGTTTTGTTACCATGCTTGGTAACATCCTCAGTGCAGCCTCCGATGAAGTGGTGTGTTTTCCCGCCTGGTTTTTTTTAAACTTTGGGGTCCGTTGAGATGGATTGCCTCACTTCCGGTTTTCCTTCATAGTGGAATGTATATGGGGTCGAGTTCAATGTGTTTATTTATAGCATGCTTCGTGGAGTGCCATGCTTCCAGGAATTCTCGTGCTTGTCTCTGCCTAGCCTGTCCCAGTCGAAGTCGTGGTTCTCCTTGTCAGTGTGGATCGAGGAGAGTGAGTATTGGTCGTGTCTTTTTGTAGCCAGTTGGTGTTCATGTACTCTTGTTGTTAGTTTCTGGGTCAGAAGATGCCTACACGAACAGCATCAGAAAGATTCTACAACGCCCCGACACATTCATCACACTATCCTACATCAGGAACACGTCAGAACTCACCACAAGACATCTACAACCGCTGGGCATCAGAGTGGCACACAAGCCCACATCAACTCTACAACAACTGCTCACCCAAACTAAAGACCCACTCCCCACCATGGACAGGACTAATGTCATCTGCAAAATCCCCTGCAGAGACTGCAAGAAACACTACAATCGGACAAACAGGAAGGAAACTAACAACAAGAGTACATGAACACCAACTGGCTACAAAAAGACACGACCGATACTCACTCATCTCAATCCACATGGACAAGGAGAACCACGACTTCGACTGGGACAACACCAAGATCCTGGGACAGGCTAGGCAGAGACAAGCACGAGAATTCCTGGCAGCATGGCAGTCCACAAAGCATGCTATAAATAACACATTGAACTCGACCCTATATACACTCCACTACAAAGGAAAACCAGAAGTGAGGCAATCCATCTCAACAGACCCCAGAGTTTAAAAACCGGACGGGAAAACACACCGATGCTTCAGAGGCTGCACTGAGGATGTTACCAAGCATGGTAACAAAACATCTGCAAAACAAGCCAGCTCAGCGAGCCAACCAACCTCAAGATAGTGGTTATCTGCCTTTTTGAACCACTGCCGTCTGTAGTTTGAACCATAACATTGTCAGGAAGAGAATTCTTGAATTTTGAGCAACAGTGAAGACAGTGATACATTTCCAAGATAGGATGGCAATGATTCTACAAAAGCTATGTTTACATGCAATTTAAATACAATATAGCAATTGTGAAGTGACTGAACACTATCTCACTATGTTAAAGTTAAATAACCAGGGCAACAACTAGATTAATTATTGCCCAGTTGATTGCTGTATTTAGGCAGGAGTGAATACCTGAATCAATTGCACTCCTCTTTAACTCAAACATTGAGGCCAATTGTGCTCCTATTTGGAACACATTTAGTGAATCATCATGGCTTTGTGGTAGAATTGCTGGACTACTACTCCAGAGACCCAGGTATCATTCTAGAGACCCAGGTTCAAATTCTACCATGGCAGATGTTATAACTTGAATTTAATAGAGGCCCTTGTAGTGTAGAGGTAGAGTCCCTACTCCTAGATCGAGATGCCTGGGTTCAAGTCCCACCTGCTTCAGATGTGGGTCATAACATGTCTGAACAGGTTGATTAGGAAAAGTAGGTTAATAAAAACACTGCCTCAATCACGAACCTGGTATCTTATTCATCTTTATGGGTCACTGTTGCATCAAACAGTGGAATTACCCACTAAAACATGGAGACTAGTGCTTGGGTCGTCCTTCAAATTCCCATATTGTACCGATGAAGTTTCAGTATCTTTGACTGTGCCTCCCATTCAACATTTTTGAGAAGATTCTTAACTCGAGGTGTAGATGAGGTTGTAGACTTGTTTGCCGAGCCGGTGTGTTTGATTGCAGACGTTTTGTCACCCTGCTAGGTAACATCGTCAGTGTGCCTCCAGTGAAGCATTGGTGCTCTGTCCTGCTTGTTATTTATATGCCTCAGTTTGTTGGGCTGGTTGGTATCACTTCTGGTTTGGTTTTTCAGTGGTTTGTATATTGGGTCCAGTTCAGTGTGTTTGATGATGGAGTTCTGGTTGGAATGCTAGGCGTCCAGGAATTCCTTGGCATGTCTCTATTTGGGTTGTGCTATTATGGATGTGTTATCCCAGTCGAATTTGTCAGTGTGTACAGAGACCAGTGAGAACTGGTTGTGTCTCTGTGGCTAGTTAGTGTTCATGTATCCTTATTGTCAGATTTCTTCCAGTTTGGCCTATGTATGTTTCTCTCAGTCCTTGCATGTATTTTGTATATTACATTGGTTTTATTGGTAGTGGGTATGGGATCCTTTACATTCGTCAGTAGCTGTAACAAGGTGGTTGTTGGTTTGTGGGCTACCCTGATACCTAGGGGGTCGAATGGGACAACCCATCCATAATAGCACAAGCCAAACAGAGACATGCCAGGGATTTCCTGGAGGCCTGGCATTCCAACTGGAACTCCATCAACAAACACATTGAAATGGTCCCAATATGCAAACCACTGAAAAACAAAACCAGAAGTGATGTCAATCACCCCAACAAACCGAGGCATATAAATAACAAGCGGGGCAGAACACCAATGTTTCACTGGAGGCGCACTGATGATGTTACTTAGCAGGGTGATGCAATGTCTGCCATCAAACACACCAGCTCAGTGAGCAAGTCTACAACCTGTGCCTCCCATTGTTTGGGATGTATTTTGGGCTTTATATTAATACAGTGGCATCGTTAGTTTTTCTTACCATCCAGATCTTCATCAAGTCCTTCATCACTTAGCATTTCATCATCAGAAATGTCCTCAAATAATTCAGATCTTTTGTGGATAGGTGCCTCATATATGCAGATTTCGTCTTTCTGTTCCTTTACACGAAAACTGCTTTGCATTCGAGTAACTGTCTGTAAAGTTTAAAATGGAAATGAAATCACATTAACTAGTCTACACTCGCCTCATATTGAAAAATATACCAGCAAATCACAAGCCTATTAAATGTCCCATCACAATTGATAAAAGGACAACCATTATGAATAATTCTACAGCAAATTCACTTGGAAACCTGACCAAAATAGACTATATAGCAAGATCGCCATCTGGATTTGACCAATGTGAGCAGCCAGTGGAAGGAAATGTGCCAGTTGCCCAGTAAAAGGAAGGCTCATGAAGATATTGATTCTTTGTTAGGGTACAGGATTTTGGCATCCATGTGGGTATCATTTATTTTCAAACCTCGATCATTAGCATTGGCAGGTAGTTTTATTAATGTAAACCATACAAGTTGAAAGACAAACACTGCAAGTTATATTACAGTTGCATAAAGCTCAGGTTCAGTATTTGTTTGAACTGTGGACAATCCTGGCAATACAAATGTACATAAAGCCCTTACAAAGATGGGTTGCAACTTCAAGCATTGAGAGCTTTACAAAGTGAAGGTAGTTACAGTTTTGTATTGACAATAATACTGAGTAAAGTCATTGTAAAGCTCTGGTAGTATAGAGCTTAAAACATTGTCTCCTTTGAGCAAGAAGTTGAGGCTCTACTTCTTGCACTCAGGACTACAATGCACATTTTTCAAATCTGTTTCTTGCATCCCAGTCCTGATGAGTGCAAGACAAAGTGCTCTGACTTTTCTGAAGAGTCCAGACCCGAAATGTCAGCTTTCCTGCTCCTCGGCCTGCTGTGTTCATCCAGCTCTACACCTTGTTATCTCAGATTCTCCAGCATCGGCAGTTCCCACTATCTCTGCTCTGACTGTGTCTTCTTTTGGCAATGTGAAAGCAATTGTATGTGATGAGCTACAAATGTCAAACAACTATTCTGTTGAACAATGGAACACACAAGCAAAATTTTCAATAGGCTGTTCATCCAATAAGTCAAACCAGACCTGGTGATAATGCTGTACTTTAACAAATGGATAAACCGAAGCATTGTTGAACCATTTCCTGGTACCATTCGAAGAAGGGAAGGAATGGTTTTGTCAGTGTCCTGGCCAATTGTTATTCTTTACCTAACATAAAATGTCACACAAAAAAATTCTGGCATTAATGATGTTGCTGTCTGTGGGAGTTTCCTATGAGCAATTTGACTGCCACATTTCCTACATTACAACAGGGACTTCAAAAAGTGCTCCACTGGCTGCTAGTGCTTGGGAACAGCCAGCAATTGTGAAAAGCATGAGTTAGCAATGGAAATTATTCCCTTTTGAAAGTTATGCTTAGACTGGTTTCCTTGCGAGCAACAGTGTTCAACTCAAACTTTTTTCTAAATAAAATCCTAAATTGTGACAGTGGTTGCACTGTTATAAAAAAAAGTGTTTCATGCAGACATACAAGGACTCCGCTATACAAATTCATATGCTTTCTTCACACGTGAGGAGTGGTAATATCATTGGATTAGTAATCCAGAACCCCAAATTAATCTTTTGGGGACATGGGATCAATTCCCACTATGGCAGACAGTGAAATTTGAAACCAAAAAGTGTTGGCCATGTAGCCACTGTTGAAGGCTATTAAAGAAAAAAAAACTTAGTTAAATGATGTACTTCAAGAAAGGAAATCTTTTATCCCTAACTGGTCTGGTTTACCTGTGACTCTGGACCTACAGTAAACTAACATAGCCAGCCACACCCATAACCCATGCACAAACATAACTGTTGCACTTACCTGGTGGCCTACTTGGTTCAGTTAGCTGTACAACATGTTTGCAACGCAGTGTAATTCCCACACTGGGTGAGGTTACCACGAAGGGCTACCCATGACCCATGACCCATGACCCATGACAGAGCAGCTCTGTGGTCTGGTAAAACGTGGGGATTTTATCTGTGATTATACTCCCGTGATTGGCTCTTAAATACAAGTGGGCATTCGGGGGATGGGCAATAAATGCTGGTGCAGGCTGTGACATGCACAGAGATAAACAGAATAACATACTGAACCTACTTTGGAGTCGACGCTGCCCCTGCTGTAGGAGTTGCGGGGTCTACCGGGGGGCTTGCTGCTGATACCGCCGAGTTGATGCAGGTAAAAGCCTGCTCCACGAACCTTCTGACCTTCTAGTTTTTCCACCTTCTCAGTCTTGGTCTCTGACTCAGTCGCGGCCTCAGCATCAGCATCTTCCTTGGATGGCGACTTCTCGGTGAGCGCCATCGCCTTCAAACTGAGAGCAGAACCTAAAAAACTGTCATTCCCCGAAAGTTAAACAGCGTACTCTTCCTCCAAAAATATAATAACAACATTATTGCTGCTGTTACTGTTTGTAATCCTGATTCCCACCCACCGATAAAGGGGGAAAGAATCGTTGCAATTTCTCCCGAACAACACCTCAACCTACCTTAATGATAAAACCGCCCCCTGCGTGAAATGATTGGCATCTGAAGTAATCAGTAGCGAGACGGATTGTTGGCCGTCACGTGATCATGCAACCAATTGGGAGCCGCGGAGGTGGGGCTTGAGGCGAACCAGCGAGTTAGGCGGACTCCCTTGTTGCCATGGCGACCGAAAACAATCCCCTTTTCCCAAAGCTCTTCCTTTCCAAAAGTTATTCCCACTTCCTTTTAACGACCACAGAAGCGAAGACTTCGAACGAAGTCAAATCCAAACCACTGTTCTTATCTTTTTGAAATATAACGGTCAAAGCCCAACCGCCACCCTCCCCTTCCTCACTCCCCCCAGAATTCCTTGCGCCGGCAGCCACGTTTTTTTGGGAGGCGGGAAATAAGGAAAACTTTTACGAATTCAAGGAAGGTTTAGAATTAAAGTATCGGGGTGATTTATATCTGCCTGCAAAGATTTGGCAGAATGATAAAAATATTTTGCCCGCGCCATGGGTAGCAGTTAGGAGGGAGGTCAAAGGTGAAATTCAAAGGCGCGGTTGCGGCATGTTAGTGTTTCGGGCGGGAGAGTGGGAAGGATGTAAATAGCTCTAAAGTGAAATTTCTTTCTATATCTATAAAGGAAATAAGATTATTATGTGTTAGGTACTGTGGAACGGTAGCATTTATTGTCCACGTTGCCCTGACGCGGTTAAGCAGAGACTGATCTGGATTCCTCGAGGAAGCCAGTTTCTGGAAACCTGGTCAGCCTTCCCTTATATTATTTTCATCTATTGCAATTGATGTGGATTTACACATTTTGCTCACGTCTGGACCTTTTATACGTGTCCACTTGACGTTTGATTCCATTCAATTAGTTCTTTTTTGTTTTGCAAATGGAGAGCAAACTCAGCACCGAGTTCCAATGGGTTGAGATTTAGCATCAACTGTTTTTAATGCTGCACAATAAACAATGACTATCTTCACCGAAAATCTTCCATAGTTTATGTCCACTGGTGTTTTTTTTTAAAGTGGGGTTTAAAACCTTTTAGTTTACCACGTCGCCGAGAATTGTGGAGAGGGGTTCATTCCCACCTTTCCTCATCAAGCTGTAGTCATTTTGGTTTGGTGTCAAGCCAACCATGTCGAAAGAGAGCGTTACCAGCACATCCCAATCTCAGTCCCAGAGTCAGTCCCAGTCCGCCTCGTCCACCAGCGGCACTGGATCGAGCAGCCTGTCCTCAGCAGGCACTGTCATCCTGGATTCCAATCCTACCCAGGATCTTGCTACCATTCCAGAAGTGGAGGAATTGCCTAAGCCTTGGGGACGCCTCTGGGCGCTAGAGAAAGGATTTTGGAACTTGGGTGAGTAGTTTTAAAACAAAACTTGTGGAATTCTGTTTCATTCTAAGAAACTCCAAGAATAGCAATTGACTCTGAAAAATATCACGTTATAGGGATGGCAACAGCCTGCATCGCTTCTGTTTGATTTATACTACGTATTTGAGTGCTTGAAACAGCAGACCTGGAGAATTCTTTGAGTATTAGGTACCTGGGTAAGCTTCTGAGTTCAGACTGGTAGTTAGATATTTTCTGATCAACCCGTTCACATGTTGTTTTTACATACTTCTGAAACAGGTGGGACTTGAACCTGAGCATCCTGCACTTTTTTTCTCATTTGACCTTTTTGTGTAGAGATAATGGGTGAAAGTCAGCCAAACAACACTCATGTTAGGAAGACTGTGCCGTGAATCCTTGTAAAATGGTAATGATGTTTCTAAACTGAAAGTTTAAATTGAATTTTGCAGTACTTGCTCATAAACTGGAGCTGATCTTGATACTGATTCTATTATTTGGCTGTTTTTCACATTTTTTCAATTTTTTTCAATTTTTGATGTGAACTAAATTACTCAGAATAAACCTTTCAAGTATTAAAGAAACAACTGCAGAATGCAGTGATCTCTTTGTGATGAACGATATACAAAATTGCTATGTACATTTACAATAGAAGGTCACATGGTACTATCCTAAGGCTTTACATTCAGACAAATTTATTTTTAAAGCTTCCCTTGTTAATTGCAGCCAAATATGTTGCCTGTTCAAGGTTTCCCTAAGAGTAGCCATTCTTGCAAGGGTGGGAGGGGGTCAGTATTGTCAGCAGGCCCTTGAATTTCAAATTCAAAAAGCTTGTAACCTGCCCAATGTATGGCATTGTACATCATGGCTTTCAAACTTTAATCAATGTGATGGGTGTTGCATTTCCAGCTCATTAACCACCCTGCACTTTCTTTGAGCCATATTGGTGATTTAAGTTACCATTTGGCACCCCAAAACAGGTGTATAGGCACAATTTCTGGTCTGCTATTTTAATTTGAGGTTTCACATTGTACAGTGTAACAAACTGAAATTGGTCGAGGGGCAAATGGCATAAAGACATGTGGGGAGGAGGTTGTGTTGGTATGGAGGAAATTTGATTAGATAAGAAATGTTAGCTGTGGAATAAATTGTGGATTGAATTTTGTTATGGCTATAAATAACATAGAGCTGTGGGTAGTGTTACTGCTGGCACAATAGCAATGTTATCAAAGTGATAACTAGCGACTCGTTCTGAGTTGAGTAAAATAAAACTAGATGTCTGAAATTACAAATGTCAAACTGTATATGTTCAGCTAAGCAGTCAGCATCTGAAAGGGCCACATGCTTGGCTCTGAATTTTCAATAGTGAAAAGGAAAGAAGGAAAGTGGTAAAGTAATTGCAAGTCCCTAATCTCTGCAATATTATGAATATTTTGGAACATTGTTCAGGTATTACCATAAATAGGTTGTACCTTTATTTTGAATAGACCTGTGGAAAGAAAGACACTATGAAGCATGACAGAAGGAGGAATAGGCAGAACAAAAACATGATGAGACAGTACCTGGAGTGTTATGCACAATTTTGGTCCTCTAGCTTGAGGAAGTAGTTGTATTGGAGGCACTTCAGAGGAGGTTCGCTAGGTTGATTTTCACAGATGAGGGATTTATCTTATGAAAAGAGATTGAGCACTCTAGGCCTATCCTCTCTTGAGTTTAGAGAGATGAGAGCTGGTCTGATTGAGGTATAAAGGATGCTTAAGGGAATTGACAAAGTAGTTGTAGAAAGGATGTTTCCTCGTGTGGCTATCTAAAACATCATGGTTTTGGGATAAGGGGTAGCAGATTTAAAATAGATGAAGAGAAGTTACTTCTCTCAAAGGGTCGTGAATCTATGGAATTCACTACTTCAGAGTATGGTGGATGCTGGGACATTGAGAACATTTAAAGAGGAGATAGACAGACAGATATGAAGAATTGTGGGGAGTCAGCAGGAAAGTGGAGTTGAGGCTATGATGAGATCAGCCATGATTGTATAAAATGGTGGAGCAGGCACAAGGTGATGAATTGCCTATTCTTGCTTCTCGATTTTATGTTGAATCAAAATGTTGATTCAGAAACATGGAGCAATAAACAGTTTTGGAAATGCCGTGTAAATGTTTTTGACATTGTGTAAATATTTTTGATAATAAATTAACTTGTTTTAGATATAAACTGGTTCAAAGCACTGATCATGACCTTCAACATTCATTTCCTATTGTTGAGTTCTGTTTTCTTTTCAAAATTCTACAGGGCAATAAGGCAGTGTCAATTTTTGACCAAGTTTTAATTGCATGTTTCTGCTTGTTGGTCAGATTGAGGGAGCAAATAAATGTGTCAACAAGCAAATGTCCTGATCTTGTATGCTAGGAATTGAGGAAGCAGCTGACTTTGGAACAGTGAGAGACACCCGAAATATCTATTTAAACTTGTTTCCTTTTTGATTTGGTTAAACATGAAGATATTTTTCTGAGAGTCAGTTATTTAGTTATTGAAAATGATTTTGAAAAGCCATGTGTACTTCAGCAAGTATGTAATACTTTTGAAGTCAGATATCCTGATTCTCTGTTTCCTGTTTGTATTTTTGTGCGTTTAAAAATACTTGGTCACCAGCTGCTGTTTCATTGTCAGCTTGAAACTTGAGGTCAGATGAGGATAGCACTAGCTGTTTGGCCCAATGCCGAGTTAAGAATATTCGTAGAGAAGTGTTAGCTCATGGCTAGTTCACCTGGTGACAGTTCATATGTGATTTTTATTGGCAAAAAAACAACAAAGAATCACGGATGCTGGAAATCAGAAACAAAAATAGAAATTGCTGGAAAAACTCAGCAAGTCTGGCAACATCTGTGGAGAGAAAACACTGAAGGTTCTGAAGAAGGGTCATTGGACCCAAAAGTCTAATTCTGCGTTCTCGACAGATGTTGCGGACCTGCTGAGTTTTTCCAGCAATTTCTGTTTTCGTTTCTGATTTTTATTGGGCTTGTCTAAGTGTATGGTTCTGTGAGCACACATCCTATAGCACCTCACTCAAATGATTTTTATTTACGCGAATCTTGATGATTTGTGTTCGTTGGCTCCAGGGAAGTATATATTGTGGAAAGGATTGAGAACATTTGAGAGATGAATTTTTCCACGTACCCACGTCTTTTTTTTTTGTCACAGATTGCTTAAATAATGAGTACTGGTTCGGGAGGGATAAATCGTGTCACTACTGTTTCGATCAACCAGTGTTGAAGAGGAAGGAGCACTTCAAATCGTACAGCAAGAAACATTGCAGAATTATCAGAGTAAGCAATGGGAACACTGTAGATAGAAGCATAACGAGACATTGAAGGTTTCCTTTTGAGTCAGTTTGAGTAGAATCTGGATGACAGTTTATATGACCTTTTTGTTTTGAGTCATATTCTGCATGTAAAACTAGGAAACGTAATATTGATTCATTTTGAGACAAAATTGATTTGATTGTCAGTTTAAAATATTTGCTTGTTTGAGCATACGTGCCAGATAAGTAACCTGATTGTGATCGCTGTGATGCCCTACAAGCTGGAGAAGCTGTCAACCATTGCTAACACTAGGAAGGCTGTGAGTGATGCAGAGACTACCTCATCCCAGGGCTGGTTTTCTGCCCATTTTCTCCCCTAACGCCCAAGATGGTAGTTCCTTTGTTTAAAAAAAAAAATCACAAACTTGGGTTACTTAAATTATTAGTTGTATTGGAAATTCTTCTATTGCCATCAGTGTAGATTTATAAAATTAGTTCTCTTAATTACTACTTTAATTTGCTTATCCATATTTCATGACATTTGAGAAATATCTTGTCATACAGTGGAAGTCCAAACTAAGACTTGTTGAAATGCAGCTTACCTCATTTCATATGGTTTATGAAATGAGTTTATTTGGTGTAGCCATATCAGTCCAGTTTAAAATTCTGAAATTGTAATCTTTAAAGTGATTGGTGCCCCTGGGTGAATGCCTCTTTTAGGTCTCTCTTAAAGGATGAACTTTTAACAGTTTCAGTTAAAATCATTGGGAATGTTATTTGTGATTTGTAATTGAAAGTTTATGGTGATGCAAGGTAGTGAATTGGAAGCGAGTGTTTTTAAAAGTCCAAAGAGAATTCAAAAATCAAATAATGCAGTACTTTTTGCCCATTTGGTTTGATTGTTGCTGTGCTACCTGTATTCCTTAAGTCTGTGGATCAGCTAGAATAACCAATGCAAGCATTGCTTGCTGACTTTAAGTGGGTGGAAGCACATAGTTACAGTAAGTTTAGCTCACATATACAAAATAACATGTATAAACTTGGTGTAAAAGTACTACTTTCAGCAATTTTAGCAAACCAGTTCAATAATTGAAAGCATAGAACTCCTTTTCAAAGTTTATTTCCTGGTCTGTTTTAGGAAAAGGGTCCTGGAAGCACGTTTGTAGTATTTATTGAAGATCACAGTTCGAATGGTACCTTCCTGAATGGCCAGATAATTGGAAAAGATCGAAGATTACCACTGTGCAACAATGCAGAAATTGCAATTAATCATGAATTACACAAAGGTAATAATGTGTTTTTAATATATTGACACTTGATCCAATTTGTTCACATCTTTAGTGGACCTGATTGAATGCTTGCTTAGAAATTTGCTTCAAATCTTTATCACTGACAAGTTTATGCTTGAACTGGTGTCTTATGTTACTTTATGGCCATTGTCTTCAAAGACATTTTATGGACTGGGGTCACTTTCTCCACCCATAGCTTGAAAGAACTCTAATTTTGATTTACTCCTCTAGACCAGGTTGGTCAAATGTAGGGGTTGCTAATCTTTGTCATAATTCTAGTTGGACGCTGATTTAAACATCAGTATATCCTGATTTAAGCATTCGGGGGCTCGGCCCTTTGCAAATTTAATTTTTGGGGTTCGTCACATCAACAAACTTTCACATGTGCATCTGATGGGCTGAAATGATACTGAGAACCTATAAAAATTACTTGCAACAAATTTACTTGCAAGAAAGTGGGTCCAAAAGCTAAAAATTGAGAATTAAAGTTGATAATCTGCTTTAAGTGAAACTACCAAAGTAGAAAAGTGGACCGAATTAAATCACTCAAAATATTTCTTTCAAAAGTTGGCCTGCAGGCCTTCTGTTGACTCCTAAAATCACTTCTGTGGCCTGTGGACTTAAATATTCCTGGGAATCTCTTAAAGAAAGAACATGGAAGTTTTTTTAGCGTTATGCTTTACATTAGTCCCTTAACCAACATCCTGAAAAGAGATCATTCACCTGTATGTGAATTAACTGGTGTGTTTGTCTACGTTGCAAGTGACTGTATCTCAAAAGTATTTTGTTTGGATGTCAAACAGTTTGGAGCATGCTGAGTCATGATAGTGGATGTGTGAATTCAAGTTAGTGCTTTCAAGATTGAAATCTTTTCAACGTCTTCCTTAAGAGACATGTCCCTACTAGTGTTTATGCTTTTTTTTTAATGCAGTTGTTCAAGAATAGCAGAGTGGAACTTTCAGAATATATGCACCGTCACCTTACAATCTGGGGAAAACTCCCACAGTAGAGATCAAAACTTAGATTGAGCTATTTTGACGGCTGGATAGTTGTTGAAATTCCGCAACTCTTGTCTGTGCTTTGGCACCACGCTGAATCCCCAGCATGGCTGATTCCATAGGAACTGCTTAGGATATTAAAACTTTTAAGAGAAATGCTAATCTAGTATGAAGTAGAAAAATGTATTGACTGAATCAATTAACTTGGCATAAACCAAAATCAAAAGTAAATAAGCTCCAAGCTGCAATTTGCAAACAGTATTTTTGCTCTGAAATCACTCCATTTAAAATGACGGACGGACAATGTATTCTTCTTGAACTGGTTTTGTTACTTGGTGCCATTTACAAACTCTGCAATTCCTTGTTTCAGTTTAGCTCTTCATATATTGAAGTAGACAGCTATCCCATTTTACAACTTTTCATCCCAACCATGCAGACAAGAAGCCCCACCATGACATTTGCAAATCGTTAGATTGTCGACAGGTATAATCTTCGGAGCAAGGAAGCCAAGTCCCTTCTGTAGCTTAGCTTAATGCGCAGTTTGCCTTATCCTTCAATATGTAATTTGGATTAATTTCTAATTTTACAATGTTTTTAACGCTGCAGGGGTGTTTGTGGAGAAGTGGAGATTACAGAATCCTCTGTAAAAGGTCCTTTCAAACTGGGAAACTTTGGAGTCTTCTGACTCAGTCAAGCTTAATAATTGCCCAAGAAAAGTGATCGAATTAAAAACCTACTCTAACTTCTAGGTGACCAATAATCTGACATCCCCCCAACTACGTTTTGCCAGATCATTGGAAACCAGCTCTAATCTATCAGTGATTCAACATGGTCTTTCCATGGTCTATCTTCTGGGCCCATGTTGAATTCCCTGGCTTATTGCTGTACTCTAGACTGAACAAAGCTGGAATGTGGGACAGCTCTTAATTAAGTTGGTTACAAGTCAGTTAGCTAAAAAATGAAGGGTTTCTGTACAACAGTGTTTTAAAAGATACAGATAATTTACCCAATGTTGCTACTTTCTAGTTTTTGTCTTTTCGGACCTCACAACTGATGACCAATTGAACTTGCCAAAAGGGTTCCGGGATAAATACATCATTTCAAAACCTCTTGGCTCGTAAGTATGAGTTACCTTTTCATTCAAACTTTAGAATGTTGTAATAGCCTTACTAACAGCTATATAAGTGTTTAGAAAAAAACACCATACAGTAACCAGCTGGAAAAAAGACCAGTTGTGATGATCATTTTCGAAGGATCAATTGTATATTCCACTATTTTCTGCAGTGTTTGGATATTTCATCATAAGCAGTTTGATCTTCTTTTCCAGTGCTAAGATTTGCCGAGCTCTTGGATTCCTCTCTACTTTTCCCAAATGGTCATTCATCTATGTGATCTAAATTCACATGGATTGGACCTTTGTGGAAGGGGCGTTTCAACTGTACCTGATCACACTTTCAGTAAAGGTACCTGCATGGTGATGAGGGATGCAACTCCAGTTTTGCAATGCTATTCCCCAAATAATTTTAAGAGAAAGGCTAATCTAGTATGAAGTAGAAAAATGTATTGACTGAATCAATTAACTTGGCATAAACCAAAATCAAAAGTAAATAAGCTCCAAGCTGCAATTCGCAAACAGTATTTTTGCTCTGAAATCACTCCATTTAAAATGACGGAT